CATCCGGAGCCTGTGCTCTGCAACGGGAGAGGCCACAACAGTGAGAGGCCCACGTACCGCGGGAAAAAAAAAAAAAAAAAAAAAAAAACAGCCTCCCGTGAGCCCACATACCCTTCCGGCCACGAGACTCCTTCTCTTCACATGGAAGCTTCCTTAAAGAGCTGTCTAGCTCACACATCTGCATCCTCTCCTCTGTGGGCCTCTTCGGGCACCTCCAGTCGGGCTTCTTTGCCCACCTATCCCCAGAAATTCAGTTTGCAGTGGGCACTCCACCCTCCCACCCCCCGCTCTTCTTTACTCCTTCTTGGAGTACTTTCCTCTTGCCTTCCAAGCCCCCCCCACCCACTTTCCATGCAGCTCTCCGGCCTGTCCTTCTACAGCTCCACCAGCCCCTTCTCTCTGCACAACTTCCCGAAAGCTGGAGGACCCCAGGCACATCCGGACCCTTCCCTCTTTCCTAATTACCCAGCTCCATCTTGCCAGAGTGACCTTATCAGGGCCCACGGCTTTGAATTCCACCTTCGTGCTGATGTCCCCCAAGTGTGTCACCAGCACAGGCCTCTCCCCTGAGATCCAGCTGCCCACTCCCATCTCCACTCGATGTGTTTCAGACACACAGCACCCCCAAACCAGCCCCTTCCCCAGGCCCCCATCTCAGGACATGGCACCACTGTTCGTGGGGTTAATTGAGCCCCAAACCCAGCCGTCCTCCTTGGTTCTCCCTCCCTCGTGCCTCGTCCATCCACCAGCCAGTCCCACTGGGTCTCCCTTCAGCGTGACCCCCTCCACACTCCGACCCCTCCACCCCGTACACACACATGCCATCGGTCCTAGTCAGCTCAGGCTGCCATAACACATACCATAGACCAGGGCTTAAAGCACAGATGTTTACTGCTCACGGCTCTGGAGGCCGGAAGTCCAAGGTCAAGGTGCCGGCCAGTTTGGCTCCTGGTGAGAACCCTCTTCCTGGCTTGCAGACGGCCGCCTTCTCGCTTGTGTCCTCACATGGCAGAGAGAGAGAAGGAAAGAGAGAAAGAACTCTCTGGTGTCTCTTCTTAGAAAGGCATCAATGCCCTCATCTAAACCTCATTATCTCCTTAAGGCTCCATCTCCAAATACTATCGTGTTGGGGGTTAGGGCTTCAGTAGACGAATTTTGGGAGGGGGACACAATTCAGTCCATCTCATGTTGCCTGGACAACCCTACACCATGATTCAGGGGACCCATCAGACCCTCCCCTGCCCACCTCCCCAGCCGCAGCCCATCCACTGTCAGCCGGGCTCTCTCCCTTCCAGCCACCCTGGCCTCGGGTCCTCATCCTTGGGCAGACCATGCCCTTCCTTCCCTGCCCTGGGCCTTGGCCTTGCCTCTCGGTTGGAATGACGTGCTCCTCCCCATGACGTTCCCCTTGCTGCCTCCTTCAGTTCTCGGTTAGCTGTCCCCCCGCCTCTGGGAGGCCCACCCGGACCACCTCAGCTGAAATGGCCCCATTCCCTCCTGGGCCCCTGCAGACGTAAGGTCCTCTCCATCACGGCACCCTCTTCATGGCACCTAGCATACCTGTAATTATGCATTGATTTCTTTTCTTATTAACTCTGTCTCTCTTAACTAGACCATAAGCTCCTTGAGGGCTGTCTTGGGCACTGCGGTATCCCCAGGTCCTAGCCCACTGCCCAGCACGTCTGCTGGGCAGTGCTGTCTGCCCTTCCTAGTCACTCAGGAAATTCTAGGGGGATGATGCAGTGGACACCCACAGCTCTGGGCTGGGGGCCTGGGGCAGACAGCAGCCCTGAGCGAATGCGGGAGGTCTGTCCTCAGAGACCACTTGCCCCTCCCCCTCCCCGTGCCTCCCCGTAGCCTCTTCTCTACAACCCCCTCCTCCCTGGAGCCCTCTCTGGTGCTCCGCCCTGTTTCCATCCCACCTCTGAGCCCCAGTCTCCCTCTGTGTCTGCCCCACTCACACAGCACCTCTTGCCTTGCAAATTTTTTGGTTTTTAAGAGGCACCCATGTGTTCTAGCACTGGTGTCTGTCCCACACGTACAGTGGTCTTCTCTGAGCCTCACCTCCGCCTGGCAGCTGTTGCCCAGCAGCTTCACTTTCTGGGTGGAGAAACTGCCCAGAGGTAGTCATGGGCCCAGCCAGCAAGAGACGGGCTGGGTTGTGAAGCCAGACCTGATTCCCAGGCTGGTGGGGTCTCCCCTGTACCACACCCTCCAACTTAACTGTGGAGTTGCTTCTTAATTTTTCATGTCAGCGTCATCCAGCAACATTTATTGGGCACCTACTATGTGCAATCCCTGCCTCGGGGAGCTCCCACGTGTGCCAGAGAGATGGGATGCCCAGTTATGAGGCCAGAGCTGGTCACATGGGGCAGGTGGGGGGCACGGGAGGAGTAGGGCAGAGTTGGAACTCGGGTGAGCAGAGGGGAGGGCTGCAGCTGGAGGGGTCAGGGAGGACTGGGTTGTAGCTCTGAGGGCAGTCCCTTTCGGTTTGGCTGTGGCTGGGTCGACATCCGACCCTTCCCAACAGACTCACCTCAGGGGTAATTGCACTGAGCACAGGAGTGGGGGAGGGAATGGGTGGGTGAGGGAATGAGCAAGGGGGCGAAAGGGTGACCTAGTGTGACTTCGAGAATACTTGAGCTCACATGGGCCTCAGGCTCAGCTCTTGTCCCTCCAAACCCAGGCAGTGAGGGTGTTGCTTCCTTTGATTCTTCCCCTCCCTTCTCCCTTTCTTCCTCCCTCCTCAGTGCTCCTGAGAGCACGCTCCACACCAGGCCCTGGGCGGGGGTGGGTGACACGGAGACAGAGACCTCAGGTGATGGAGCCTCAGGGTTGACAAGTGCGGCTGCTTGATGGGGCTGGCGGGGGTCCAGCATGCTTCCAGTGGATGGGCTTGGCCAGAGAGGAGGAGGAGGCAGTGGAAGTTGAGGGGTCAGGCCTCATCTGGGTCAAGCCAACCCCAGCATCCCAGTTGGGAGCCAGGCTGTGCCAACCCCAGATAACTGACCAGCGTGGCAGCCAATGATTTGCCAGGAGGAGCAGAGGGTACTGGCTCTCCTGGGGCGGCGGCAGGACAGTTAGCAAGGTGAGTGTGGCCCAAGCCAGCATCCCTGGGCCGGGCCTGAGGAAGGAGCAGACAGAGGCCCTTCCCCATCATCACCCGTCCACCCATCTGACCTGACCGAGCTCCCTTCCCTCCCCCTGCCCCAGCCCCGTCCCAGGTGGTGGTGATCCGCCAGGAGCGGGCGGGGCAGACCAGCGTCTCGCTGCTGTGGCAGGAGCCAGAGCAGCCCAATGGCATCATCCTGGAGTACGAGATCAAGTACTACGAGAAGGTACCCACAGGGAAGGGAGAAAGAGGGAGGCCACCAGGCCGGGGACCCTTGGCTGACCACCCCTCCCACGGGCAGGACAAGGAGATGCAGAGCTACTCCACCCTCAAGGCTGTCACCACCAGGGCCACCGTCTCGGGCCTCAAGCCGGGCACCCGCTACGTGTTCCAGGTCCGAGCCCGCACCTCGGCTGGCTGCGGCCGCTTCAGCCAGGCCATGGAGGTGGAGACCGGGAAACCCCGTGAGTGCAGGGAGGGGGGAGGGCGAGGGAGCTGAGCCAGGCGCCAGGGCCAGGGCCAGGGTCGTGGTGGTCAGAGGAGGGGAACGAGTGCATGCTGAGCTGGTGCATGGGCCAGATCAGCATTTTTACAGGTGAAAAGACTGAGGCTCAGAGAAGGAAAGTTACATGCCCGAGGTGACAGAGCTCATAACAGCCCATTAACTGCAGGCTTTCCCCAAGCATCAGTGTGACTTGCAGGCATCATTGTGCCCTTTGCTAGCAGGACAACCTTATAATCGTCCCAGAGACCCTCTAGTGAGTTGGCAATATCCACATCCCCATTTTACAGGTGAGGAAAATGAGGGTCAGAGCAGTAAAGCGAATTGCCCAAGGTTACCCAGCGGAGCAAGACTTGAACCTGGTCAGCTTGCGGTCAAACTCTGTGCCCTTCCCCAGTATCATCCTGCCCTGCACCACCACCACCACCACCACCACCCCCGCCTCCAGAACAGCGGTTTCCACAGTGTAGCCCAGGACCAGCAGCAGCTGCAGCTGGGAGCTATCAGAAATGCTGATTCTCAGGCCCCACCCCAGACCTTCAGAAGCAGAAACCCTGGCTCTGGGGGCCCAGAAATTTTGGTTTGATCATACCTTCAGGGTGATTCTGAGGCACATTCAAGCTTGGGAACCCCCTGCCCCCATCTCCAGCCCATTGGGGTCTTCTCCTATACTCAGCACCCTCCAGGGGGGCAGTGCTAAGACAGATGGCTCAAGGCTGTGTTGATGACCTTCCTCAACCTGGCACCCCCTTGGCACTTGTGTGTCTCAAGTGCTCTTAGGTCTGATACCATGTTGAGACCGCCCAGGTAGGAATCCTGCCCGGCTCCATCCCATTTACTGTGTGTCCTTGAGTAAGTTCTTTGAGTTCTCTGGGCCTCGGTTTTCTCATCTGACAACTAACGATAATACTGGGTTATCCCTGGAAGGGATGTGGGTTACTGACTGGAATGTGCAGCTCTCAGTATGTTCAGCTTTGTCACTGTTACAGTAACGGGCAGGACAGGCACTTCTGGACTCATACTACAGGTGAGAAAGCTAAGGCTCAGAGAAGTCTAGTGACTCTGACCAGGTTACACAGTCCCAGGAAGTGGTGGCACCAGGTTGGAAAGCAGGATATTGAAGGGGAGACTTGTAGAGGGGAGGGTGGGGCAGAGGAGGATGCGGCCTGCGCCCCAGCTCTGGGCTGGCTCACAGCCGAGGAGGCTGCCGCTGGGCCCCGGGAAGGCCGCCAGACCTCTGGCCCTGAGGCCAGGGCTGAGTGGCTGGCCCCACAGCCTGCTTTCCCCCCACAGGTCCCCGCTACGACACCCGGACCATCGTCTGGATCTGCCTGACACTCATCACTGGCCTGGTCATGCTTCTGCTCCTGGTCATCTGCAAGAAGAGGTGGGTGGTCCTGGCCCCCGGCCACCCCAACCCCCTCCCCTGGAGCACTGTGTCTCCTGCCTGTCCCTAGCCTCGCTGAGCCAGTGATCCCCTGTGCCTGGGCTCACTTACAGATATACCTGTTCTTCCTTCCTCCTTCTTGGAACGCTTTTCTCTTGCCTTCCATGTCCGGCTCACCCCCCACTTTCCATCCACCTGTCTGGCCTGTCTTCCATCTCCTCCAGCCCCTTCTCTCTGCACAACTTCCTGAAAGCTGGAGGACCCCAGGCTGGTCTGGGACCCTTTTCTCTTTCCTACTTACCCAGCTCCATCTCTCCTGAGTAACCTTATCAGGGCCCACGACTTTGAATTCTGCCTTCACGCTGACATTCCCCAAGTGTGCCACCAGCACAGGCCTTCCTCCTGAGGTCCAGCTGCCCACTCCCATCTCCACTCGGATGTGTTTCAGACACACAGAACCCCTAAACCAGCCCACCGACTAAGTAGGTGTCAGAACTGGGACAAGACCCAGGTCTGTTAAAACTAAAGACTGTGCTCTTAGTTACTCTCCCCCTCCCACTCTGTTCCAGAGGGAGGTGGTGCAGGCTTAGGGTCCCACTCAGCGAGAATTGGAAAGATCATCCATAGATGGAGAAACTGAGGTCCAGGGAAGGGAAGGAGCTTGCCAAGGTCACACGGCGGAGTTAGCATCAGAAGCCTCATCTCCCAGCCCCTCTACCAGGGGTGCTTTCGTGTAAAATTGAGCTAATAATGCCATAGGCTTTGCTGTGAGGGCCAAGTGGACTTGACTTTGTAAATTATATGGTGTTTATAAATGTCACAGTTCAGCTGGGTTGAGAGCCTGAGGTTGGGACTGCCCCCCTGCAGGGGCAGGGACTGGGGTGGCAGAAGCTGACCTGAAAGGGAAGGGGGGTAGAAGGGAGGAGTTTGGACGTGTCCCTGAACGGGGTCAGGGCTGAAACCAGGGACAGTCCACCCTCCACAGGCACTGCGGCTACAGCAAGGCCTTCCAGCACTCGGATGAGAAGATGCACTATCAGAACGGGCAGGGTGAGTGCAGGGCCCGGGGATCTGGATGCAAAAGCGGAGGCCACAGTAGGACCCAGTGCTGGTCTGGGGGTGGTGCAGGTGGGAAGGGGAAAGGCACCCACAGAAAAAACTAGAGCCCCAGAGAGAGACAGCAGGCTGTCACAGAGACCTGAGACCCCAGAGGTGCAGTGCTGTGCAACTTTCCTGGGTTTGAAGAGGATGCTACAGACCCTCTCCCCAGGGAAATGCACAGATATTGGCATTCACGCACAATTTCACATACACCTTTGGGGGGTCAAGGACCCCTGCTGCAAAGAGCTTTTTCAGGACCCTGCAGAAACCTCAGAAAATAGGGCAAATACGGGGATGCTTACCTCAATGCCCCACTTCTTTGCCCACACGGTAGAATCAGTCATGGGACTGATTCCCATGGAGCCTGAATGCAGTCTCAGAATCCTTCTTAACACAGTCTTCTAGAGACCCGCTTTCCATCGGTCTGAGTTGGCACTGTGATGTGGCCTTTTTTTGGTCACATTCCTACCCTAGGACAATTGAGAAAGGTCTTAAGGACCCTAAAAGTGACCCCAGAGAAATGACAGGCTCAGAACTCACGAGAAATCCCAAAGTCCCCTAGAGACCTCAGCGCTACTCCACAGAGACCCTGCTTACACTTGGCAAGCACTTACTGGGCACCTACTGTTTGCCATCACATCCTGGGATTCCCGGAGACACTGCTCACTCCACTCCCAGTCCCGTCCCAGGCCCAGGGAATGCTGGGAGAGAATGTCCTCATGGAGTCCACCGATGGCCCTTCTCTCCTGGCCCCTTAGCACCTCCACCCGTCTTCCTGCCCCTGCACCACCCTCCGGGGAAGATCCCAGAGCCCCAGTTCCATGCAGAACCCCACACCTACGAGGAGCCGGGCCGGGCGGGCCGCAGCTTCACCCGCGAGATCGAGGCCTCTAGAATCCACATCGAGAAGATCATTGGCTCCGGTGAGCTTCAGGGATTGTGAGCGTGGGGACATCACAGGAGGTGCCCAGGGGAGGGACACCCAGTGCAGAGGGACAGGGGAGCCAAGATGCTCGGCATGGCCAGACACTCGGGTGTGTGGGGCTGGGAGAGTGCAGAGTCTGGGGTGAGGGGAGGAAGGTCCCACCGCCCACCCCCCTGCCTGCCCCCCTTGGGTTCACAGGAGAGTCCGGGGAAGTCTGCTACGGGCATCTGCAGGTGCCAGGGCAGCGGGACATGCCCGTGGCCATCAAGGCCCTCAAAGCCGGCTACACCGAGAGACAGCGGCGGGACTTTCTGAGTGAGGCATCCATCATGGGTCAGTTTGACCACCCCAATATCATCCGCCTTGAAGGTGTCGTCACCCGTGGTAGGTGCCAGGCGACGGCAGCCTCCCCCTGCAGGGACCCTCCTGCTGGGGTCAGGGCTCTAGGTCCATCCCCAGCTCACCCTGCCCTGCCCCATCCCCCTGGCTCAGGTCCCCAGATGACTTGGCAGGGAAGAGGGCCCAGAGCCTGGAACCCCAGTGGAAACCCTATGTTCCCTGGGGCCCTGGGTGCTGGCCCAGCTCCTGGCAGCTCATAGCGGGGGGTGGGGGGGCATGTTCCTGATCCCCCCACCAAGAGCCACCTCCTCCCCGGCGCCGTCCCCAGGCCAGCTGGCAATGATCGTGACCGAGTACATGGAGAACGGCTCTCTGGACACCTTCCTGAGGGTGCGTGCCCCGCCACTCCTTTCACCTGGGCCGGGGGAGGGAAGTTCAGTCTGGGTGGTGGGAGATAATGTGAGACCTCCAGATACCCCCTCCTCCCCAGAGCTGCAAAGTGGACCCAACAGACCTGGGGAAGGGCGAGCCAGGTGTGGGGAGGGGTCTTAAAGGTCAGCCCGTCAAACTGCCTTTCAGCACCCCCATCACGTGGAAGTCTCTCTGCTGCACGGGTCCTGCTGCCCTGTCCTGCACACAGGCTAGGAGGGGTGCCTCTGTGGGGACCCAGGGCCCCAGTCAGCTGGGAGGCATGGCGGGTGGTGGTGGAAATCCCTAGATTCCCAGCCCTCGCCGTGCCGTTTATCTGCTGGGTGCTCTTAGGCACAGGGAGAAACCTCTCTGGGCCTCCATTTCTCCTTCTGCAAAGTGGATGACCAGGCACTGCCACCCTACCTACCTCTCAGGGTTGCTGTGAGTGTAAATGAGACGTGAGAACAAACCTTAAACAGCAATGTGCTTCCTAAGCAGTGAGGCACTTTGTAAACTGCAAAGAGCCTTCCTGAAGCCCAAGCCGCGTCCCCCCGCAGACTCACGATGGGCAGTTCACCATCACGCAGCTGGTGGGCATGCTCAGAGGAGTGGGCGCCGGCATGCGCTACCTCTCGGGCCTGGGCTACGTCCACCGCGACCTGGCTGCCCGCAACGTCCTGGTCGATGGCAACCTGGTCTGCAAGGTGTCTGACTTCGGGCTCTCGCGGGTGCTGGAGGACGACCCCGATGCCGCCTACACCACCACGGTGCGTAGCCGGCACCCGCTTTCCAGCAGGCCCTGGGATGGAGCCCCTCACGTGTCGTTAAGGAAGTTGGACGTTTCAGGGTCGCCTTCAACCTGGGGCGAGTCCTACCTCTTCTCTGCACCACAGTTTGCACCAAAGCTTTCCCACCTCTGCTCCGTCACTAACTGGCTTGCAGAGATACCAGGGCCGGTCCCCCCCATCACTCACTCACTGGGAGATCTGGGGAGAGTTGGCGTCTCTCTGAATCGCCTCCACTCCACGTCTGTCTCTATCGTTTGACTAAAAACCAGCATTTTCAAAATGTGTTCTGGGGGGATTTGGGCTTCTCTAGCAGTGCTTTAGGGGCTGCCTTAAGGGCAGAGGGCCTCCACCCCTGCCTCAGTCAGGACCTTCCCTTAGGATCTCGCCCACTGAGCCTCCAAATAAGGTTTCACTTAGAGAAAGGATTTTGTGAGCAAAAAACATCCCTCCAGGGGAGCTGGAAAATTACTAGACCACGTTCTCTGAGCTTCGTCACTTGTTCAGGCATCAACCTGTTGACCGATACTTACTGAGCGTCTACTGGGTGCCAGGCCCTCCACCCACTGTCTTTTGTTCAGTCTCCACACCAGTTCCATGTGCAGGTCTCCCGCATCAGAACAGGTGCTCTTGGAAGGTGGAGGCCGTGTCTCTCCAACCAGCCTTCGAGTTTCCCAGCCCAGATCCCTGCCTTCAGCTCCCTGACGAGCTGGGGAGAAGCTCTCAACACTCGTGTGTCCGTCGCAGGGAGGGAAGATCCCAATCCGCTGGACGGCCCCCGAGGCCATCGCCTTCCGGACCTTCTCCTCGGCCAGCGACGTGTGGAGTTTTGGGGTGGTCATGTGGGAGGTCCTTGCCTACGGGGAGCGGCCGTACTGGAACATGACCAACCGGGACGTGAGTGCCGGAGCCTGGCTGGGCAGAGGCGGCCGGGGCCTTGGAGGGAGGGGCCGCTCCAGCCCATCGCCGTGTTCCCCCCACAGGTCATCAGCTCCGTGGAGGAGGGGTACCGCCTGCCCGCGCCCATGGGCTGCCCCCGCGCCCTGCACCAGCTCATGCTTGACTGCTGGCACAAGGACCGGGCCCAGCGGCCTCGCTTCTCCCAGATCGTCAGCGTCCTGGACATGCTGATCCGCAGCCCTGAGAGTCTCAGGGCCACGGCCACTGTCAGCAGGTGCCTGGCGCCCACCCCAGCTCCGCCAACCCCAGCTGCCCTCCCCGCTTGCCCTAGACAAGGCCCAGACTTAGTCCGGGCCTTGGGATGGCTCTGCCCTGACCCCTGGACCAGACCCAGCCTGGGCCTCTGACCCCTGTTCAGAGCTCTACTTCCAAGCCTGTGGTCTAACCCTTCAGACCCTCCTCGCCACTGCCGAGCCTAGCTGGAGGCTGAGTGGCTGGCGCCAGTGTCTCCTGGCAGACCACTTACCAAGGGCCCCTGTGCCTCAGGTGCCCGCCCCCCGCCTTTGCCCGGAGCTGCTTTGACCTCCGCGGGGGCGGGGGTGGCGGCGGGGGCCTCACCGTCGGGGACTGGCTGGACTCCATCCGCATGGGCCGCTACCGGGACCACTTTGCTGCTGGGGGTTACTCCTCTCTGGGCATGGTGCTACGTATGAATGCTCAGTAAGTGGTGGGCCCCTGAGGATGGGAGCAGGGGGAGAGGCCAGAGGCCAGAGGTGGAGCCGCTGAGGTTGGCAGCTCCAGGGATGGGTATGTCTCTGTCTCCAGAACTCTGAGACTCCCAGGTCAGCACCGCCTTCCTTTACAGGGATGTGCGTGCCCTGGGCATCACCCTCATGGGCCACCAGAAGAAGATCCTGGGCAGCATCCAGACCATGAGGGCCCAGCTGACCAGCACCCAGGGGCCCCACCGGCACCTCTGACCAAACGGAGCCAGCCCCGGGTCATGCCAGCCGTCAGAGGACTCGCAGGGTTGGCCACCCCAGGCCTCTGTCCCTCCTCCTTGGCTGCCTTCCCCTCAGGTGCCAGGGAGGCCGAGGACTCCACCACAAGACCTGGAGTTATCTGGGGTCAGGCCACCTGGGAAGGGACCTTTGGTGCCCAGCAGGGAGGGGACACCTGCCCCCAGGGCAGAGGGCCTTCTCTTTCCCAGAGGCTGGGGCCTCAATGCCACTGAGCCCAACAGCGATGTCGCTCACCTGCCTCTGTGTGTGTGCGCGTGTGCGTGAGGGTGCCTGTGTGCACGCACTCACATGCTGTAGGGGTGTGTTCTCATGAGGTCACAGGAGCCCTTGTGAACACGTGTGATCATGTGTGTGGGTGTCCACCCATGAGGTGCCCCATGGATGTGTGCCAGTTATGGTGAGTGTGCTTATTCGTTAAGGCTGGGGGCACATGTGTGTGACTGTGGATGGCACGTCAGGAATGAGGATGCGTGTCACAGTGTGAGGATGCGTGAGCAGTGAACTCGGTGTGACACTGCCCATCAGATGTGGGCCCAGGGCCCAGCACCCACAGGGACTGGGGAGGAGCTCACCCGCCTCCCCCAGGCCTGGAGGCTGGAGCCAGGGGCTACCTCCAAACCACACCAGCAGCAGCCCCCCTTGTCTCTGCCCGGGTGAGCCCACCCCCGGCTCTATCTCAGGTCTGAGCCCTCCCTCTAGCTGGTGGGGGGCCACCTGCATCCTCCACCTGGCTCCCACCACTGCTTCAACAGGAAAACAGGGTTCCCGGCCAGGCCCTCTGGCCGCCTTCTGTGTAGGCATCAGCACAGAGTACGTGAGATGCCCTCAGCTGAACTTGGCTACCTGGCCAGGGGCCAGGGGCCACCAACTTCCTTCTAGTCTCTGATGCCCCTGCACAGCCTAGGGCTTCTCACTTGGAAGGTCCCTCTGCCAATCTCACTGCTCAGCCCTGGCCTGCCCCCCAGACCCCCACCTAGGAACAAGGACCATAACATCCTAGTTTTTCAGCCCCAAGTCCACCCCTCCTGCACCTTCCGGGCAGACCAAGGGAGTGTGCCTTGTCCAAGGTCACATGGCAGCGAAGTTTCAGAGCTGAGCCTCCTCCCGGGGCTTTTTCCCCACTTCCTCCGGCACAGAGGAGGCAGTCACCCCCCACTCAGAGTTGACCCTCCCTCTAACGGCCCACCAGGGTATGTAAATATCTTTTTCTACCATGTCAGAATATTTTTTCCTTACTCCTGACAATGCAAAAATGGTCTTCAAAGCACATAAAAAGCACCCAGGGTGAGAAAGCCCCATCCCAGGGGATGCTGGCGGGGGCCCAAGGAACCCCACTGGACAGGATGCCGGGTTACCCCTGCCGGCCCCAAGGGAGGGGCAAGCTCAGCCCCACCCCCTGCCCAGCCCTCCCAGTAGCCAGCACAGCTGTTCCACGGAGACACCAGCACTGAGCCCCCTCTCCCTCCTGCAATAATTTCGGGGAGTCTCAGCCCCGCCCAGGTGCCGCGGCCAGCTCTCTACACCTCTATATATTATATTACTATATAGCCGAGCTGTTCTTCCTTCCTATGGAAGTCGGAAACGTGGTCAGGACACGATCCGGGGAGGACCCTGTCTTCCTCCCACCCCCACCCCACTCTCACCCAGTTCCTGGGCTCTGTATCCTCACAGCCAGGGGGAACAGAGTGGGCCTGGCACTTGGGAAAGTGTGGCCCCTGCCCCCAGTGTGAGGTGCCCGTCGAAGTCCCCGGGATCTGCCTCTCTGTGGTCTCCATCCTGAATCTTGTACTTACCCACATTGAGAATAAATTCTGCCTCATCTTTGCCTGTGTCCCCCATTTTTTCCCATTCCTACAACCTTGACCTCTCCTGGTAAGGAAGGACCAACCTTATGCTGTGCACCTACTGTATGCGTCCCATACATATTTTTTCCCCTCTCTGGTCTCATCTGTCCTAGGAGGTAGGATTCATGTGCCCATTTTGTGTAAGAGGAGGCCGAGTCTTATAACTTGCCTAAAGTCAGTTTTGGGGGGTCTGAATCGGAACCCAGGTTTTGTCCAACTCCAAAGCTCATGCTCTGCTAGGAAGCACCCCCATGGGACCCCAGTTCTTTCCTCTGTGAGGTACAGATGGTGCTTAACACTGGAGCTCAATCCCTTGTAGCTGGGCATCGCCCTTGCCTCGCGTTCTCTTGGGGAAGGACAGCCCTGGAGGAGGCATGCGTGAGAAAAGAGCGTCTCATGGGACAGCTTCCCTGGGAACAAGGGGCCCATTGAGAGACCTGGGTCCTATGGGGCAGGGCAGGGAAGACAGGATGCAAGCAGCTTCCATAGTTACATCAAGAGGCAGAGGACCCAACTCTGCTCCCAGAGAAAGGGGACAGCAGCAGGAGAGAGGGTGGTGGCAGCAGAGCCCAACTGTGTCCATTTGAGTCAATGGCTCAGACATTTGGGGAAGATACCCCTGGGGTCTTGCTGATGAACAAGTAAATGATCACCTGTAGCCCCTCCAGCTGAGGGAAGTGTCTTCGTTCCTGCCTCTCCCTCAATTTGGGAAAGGGGGACCACGGAGAAAACACATTTAATGTGTCTCCTACAATCTCACTAATAATCATGCTCAGGCCAATGTCCCACGTGGCAGAACCATCATGTAAGCTAGATCTGCCTGAGCTCAAGCTCAGGATGTGTTTCCCCCTGAAACTCTAAACTCCGATCTAGGCGCCACCCCACGGAACCAGCTGTCTCCTATGAGGAAGAGCCTGTTATTACATAACTTCTCTGCCCTAAGGACCAACCATCTCGGTAGGACCTACTGAGCACCTACCATGTAGTGTGTGCCACTGGGGATACAAAGCTGGACTCTAGGCGGAGGTACAGAGTGCACAAAAATGGTTCCCTCAATTGGATCCAGGGGGCTAAGTGTCCAGAAAATGGTGCATGCAGAGGGGTTAAAGGAGGTTAGAGGAGGAGTGTGGGGGAGATTGAGCCTGGAGGGCCAGGGCTGTCACCAAGGACTTCCTGGGAGAGAGAGAATTCAGCTGGGCACTGGAGGATGAGAAGGGTTTGGAGATTCATTTCCTAGGCAGCGCTCTGTGCAAGGATGGAATGCAGAGGAGATAAAGAATAACAGCCACAGGAGAAACAAACCATGCTCGTGGATGGGAAGCCTCCCTGTTATAAAGTTGACTAGTAGCTTCCAATATAATCTATACATTTTATTCCCAGTAACATTTGCAATGAGGTTTTCTCTGCAACTTGACAAGGTCATCCCAAAATGTAGATGGAATAACAAAGAACCCAGAATAGCTAAGACAGTTTTGAAGAAGAAATAAGAGGAAGAGGAAGGGAACTTCACCCTGCCAGATCTCAGTAATTACTGTAAAGCTTTAATAATTAAAATCATTTGATTTAGTCCCAGGAATACAGAAACAGATAAAAAGAACAGAATAATGTCTAGGAACAGATGCAAATATATATGAGTGTTTGAAACATGGCAAGGGGTAGTCAATGAGTGATGTTAGGACAATTAAATACCCCCATGGAAAAAGATAAAAGTAGATTCCTGCTCACACCACTCACAAAATAAGTTCCAGGTTGATCAAAGTCCTAAATGTAAAAAAAGCAGACTATAAAGCTTTTACAAGGAAACAGGAAAACAACTTTACGATCATAGAGTAGAAAATAAGACAAAACAAGCACAGATGATAAAGGGAAATGATGATAAATCTTATTTCATTAAAATCAAAAACTTCTGCGTGACAAAAAATAAATTTGTTAAGGGCATGGCTGGGAGAAGATATTCGTAAACTGTGCAGCCAACCAAGAGAGAATTAGTTTCCAAATTTTTTTTTTTAATTTTTTTTCAAACTTCAAAGAATCAATTTACCAAAACATTCCAAAGCAATAGGAAAATGGGCAAAAGCTATGAACATACAAATAACAGAGGAAGAAATTTGAATGGCCAGTAAAGATATTAAAAAGATTCTCAACATCACTAGTAAGCATTGAAATGAAAATTAAGACAAAAATTAGATAGCGTATTACACCAATCTGATTGGCAAAATTAATCTATAACACTAGTATTGATGAACGTGGCGGGGGGGGGGAATAGCAATATTTATAAACTGCTGGTGGGAATGTAAATTGGTACAACTACTTTGGAGAGAAATTCGGAAACAGTAAATTTTAAGATGAGACCCAGCAGCTCTGCCTTAGTGTGTGCCTGTCCTAGGTTAGGTCCCCTAAGCAGTGCCTGGGATTCTTGTGCAGGTGATTTATTGAGGGAGGGCTCTCATGTGAAGAGAGAGAGGCAGGCAGATAGGGTAGGAAATGTTAAGTAATGGTGGGTTCTCAGTTGGAGATTAGCTTCAATCTGATCCTGTGGGGAGGTCTGGAGCATTAATAACATTGCAGAGCGGATCTGCCTTGAGGCAAGGGGGCCAGACCTTTGCACCCCCCACATCCATCAGTCATTGGCTATGGGCTGCCCAATGCAGGGGGGCAACTTATAACTTCCTGGATGAGGACATTCCCAAGAAGCTGCGAGCAGCTGTGAGCCCTTAGCAGCCAACACTCACAGCAGCTGGAGGATGAGTGCACCTGCAGTTCAAAGAACCTGGGTGGAGAACCCAGAGTGTTTTCTATGCATCCTAGAGAAACTCATATGAAAAAGGATACATGGACAAGGATATTCATTGCACCTTAGTATGTGATAGAAAAATGAGGAGCAGCCTAACTGCCTCTCAGCAGGAGAACAGGAAAATAAGCTGCTTTATAAATATAGTGAAATCATCTACCACAGTTAAAATCAACAAACTAGATCAACATGTCCCAGTATAGGTAAATCTCCAGGACATAAATATGGAGTGAAAAAATAAATGACGAAGGAATGTGTACGGTACTATACCATTTATATAAACTTTTAAAGTTTATGCAACCATAGAATTACAGGTTTTGCAT